TCGCTAATAAAAAATCCCGATTTTCGACTAAGAAAAAATATCGTAGTATGCCCTGAAACTTTAATAAACATTTCAAATTTTGTCCCAAGGTAGACCTTTTTTATTAAAATCGATTTACAACTTCAAATTTTAGGGGGGTGTTTCCATTAAAAATGTGTCACACTGTATATATAAAAAACTGAGAGTAGGGCGATTCTGAAAATTGGTAGGATGGGTGAAAAACTAATGAAGAATTCAAATGAAATATTATCGTTGAGGTGACGTTTCGGGTTTCACCGAAAGTGACGTCATCTTTGTTATTTTTAATGGCACACCCTGTATTTCACCTCATTTTTAAATTCTTCCCATGATTTAGATTCTAACGCATATATCATAACCTATATCCAAAATGAACCGTTTTCGAAATATTCGATTTTTTTTAGAAAAAGTGACAGATGCAGCCTCTCGAACATACGTCAATTTTATGTAAATGAATATTTTTAAAAATATGCAGCTAGTGAATCGTGATAATTGAAGGTTGAAAGGATCAAGCATCATGTTCACGTCCAGTGAATAATGCACAGGGTGCGCAAAAATTAGCATCCAATAAGTGAATGACAAAAATTAAAAATCTCAACTTTTCAAATGGAAATCCCCATTTTTTTACTCTAGGTTCAATTCTATTATGAAAATAAGCCCTAGTTATGATACACTTCCCTATACCCAAGGCTGCGTCGAAAACGGTTCATTTTGGGTATAGGGTATGATACATGAGTTAGAATCTAAACCATGGAAAGAATTCAAAAATGAGGTGAAATACAGGGTGTGCCATTAAAAATAATAAAGATGACGTCACTTCCGGCGAAACCCGAAACGTCACCTCAACGAAAATAATTCAGTTGAATTCTCCATTAGTTCTTCATCCATCCTATCAATTTTCAGAATCGCCATACTTTCAGTTTTCTATATATAGATCGCGTTAACTCGTCAAGATATACCCTGTAGATATTGAGACCTACGACTACAGATAATTCCATAGTAATTTAAATTTGAGAGTCTCAAGACAGCCTACCTGTAAAAACATGCATTTTCTCTACTAACTACTCATCACTTTTTTAGCTTTAATATTCAATAATCTATTGATGGCAGATATACTAGACAGGTTAAAAACTTCGTAGGCTAACTCACAGATGGCATTACTAGTATTGAATGCAAATGATTTTTAGTTAAAACTAACCTTCAAAAGATATGTGTACAAATTTCACAGCTATCGGACTATTAGTTTGTGGGATAGAACTTTTCGAGTGAAACAACTTTTGTTAGTTTGCAGAAAATGGATAAAAAGGAATTTCGTGTGTTGATGAAGCTTTGCACCAGAAAAATCAATCGTTGAGTAGGGGTTTGACAAGTTTAAACGAGTTGAATTGAGTACCCAAGCGTTCATAGACGCAACCAGTCGCCAGGCAAGGTTATGGTATTGGTATTTTGGGTTGCGAATCGTATAATGTTCAACGACTATCTTGAAAAGGAAAAACCCATCCACAGTGACTATTACATAGCCTTATTGCAGCGTTTGTAGGACGGAATTACGGAAAAAACGTTCACATTTGAAGAAAAAAAGTGCTGTTTCATCAAGACAATGTACTGTGTCACAAATCAATGAAAACATTGACAAAATTGCATGAATTTCATCCGCATCCACGGTATTTTCCAGATCTGGCCCCCATTCTCAAGAGAATGCTTGCTGGAAAGAAATTTAAAGCCATTGAAAAGGTGATCGTTGAAACTTGGGCCTATTTTGAGGCATAAGACAAATCTTACTGCATAAAATCATATCGCTATAATCGCTGTTTCGTCCTCGAAGACAACTTTATTGAATAATGAATTAAAATTTTATCAAAAAAAAGTTTTTCTACGTTAGCCTACGAACTTTTGGTCCAAAATATTATGTTCAAACTGGCCAAGGATTAATGAACTGTTTCAAATCTAACCAGCCATAGAGGACTAAGTGAGATTGAATGAAATGCATTTGTTAATAACGGTGTACTCGTTGGTAGTGACTCAGATGTGATTGTATTTCTGTCCAACTACTGAAACATTTATAAGGTATAGTTCAGAAAGTTTTCATTAGATGTTTTTCAGGACCCGTTTTGAAATTTGTTAACAGGATCTCCATAAAAATGGAAGTTCTTTTGAAATTATCGTCATCATCAGAAACTACAATTTAACGTTGGTTTGCTGACTTCAACTGATGATGCAGAACGCAGTGGACGTCTAAATGAGACAGTAACACCAGAAAACTATACGTGACCAATAATTAAAGTTCGGAGAGAAACTGTAGATAGATTTAATTAATGACTTTTCATAATTTCCTTAAGAATTACATACATTTCCGACGGAAATAAAGTAGTCAATCCCTACATTTCATGAAATGGATCTATGTACAGGGTGTTCCAGTTGAAAAAACTGAGAAAAAGGGATCCCAAGTCTTGTTTACCCCTGTACAGAAAAAGCTCCCAAACTTTGTTTTAGTGCAAACCCAGCTGGGCTGGATAGCCCTGGCAGATGAAGCCATGAATGAAAAAAAAAAGAAGAAGAAGAAACCCAATTTCACTTAAACTTCTGAACCACCTTATATGGACCCAAACAACCCTATATTTCTGAGATGCACTCTGCCCAAGAAAGTCAATCGAGCAAAAATATCTGGAGTATTCTATTTGAAAAAATTAAAGTTTGATCTGTCACACATCTATTGGACACCCTGTATATTAGTAATCATTATCAACATATAGCTTTCATTAATCTCTCCATGCCTATATGCCTAACACATGTTGCGTTATTTTGCGTGTTTTTTGAATTGATTATATATTTACTAAGCAAATCCAGTTGTCTATTCCAAAATATGCAGTTAGTCTCATCGATGAAAAGGAGATTTATTATCGATAGATATCTGATTAGTTAGGCAACGTGAACATGCATTAGTACGATGAAAAAGTTATACTATTGGATGGTGAAGAGATATATCAGAGGTTATGCACAAAAAGTTCCAAACCAACTAAAAACCTCGAAAGAAAAAAATCAACAGACAATTCTGCGAATAAGAAAACGTTCTAAAATTAAAAAAATATATTACATTTCTCAATGACTCTATATACAGAAGACCTGTACAAGTATAAGTACCTAGAAATAAAAATTTCAATAATTGGAAATAGAAAGTAAAAATATACAAAATATTGAGAAGGGGAAACATTCCAAACATCTTGGAAAGGAATATTTTCCTATTTTTACAATTGTTAAAATATCTATTCTTGGTAATGAGATATGGAAAATTCGTGATTACTTTAAATTATTAGTAAGTCGAAATATCAATGAGGGCAATTTCAGATCTAAATATGGCTTCAACATTGCCTTACATTATTTATATACAGCCATTTCTTCTCAATGAGCAAGTAAACGAGGAATAGTTTTGTCATTAGTGAAATGAAAGTTTGAAAAATTAATTTTCATAAATGCTAGAGTTCCAGACGCTATATGCAAGTTAACTTTACAATATTCACATCTGTCTATATAATTATCTTCCACATATTTTTTCATCAAATATACATTTTTTATGCTTGTTCAAAATCTTCCTCGTATTGGATCATGAATATTATTATACCTTAATTTTTATGGTAAACTTTGTGATGTTTGACAAAATATCAAATTGATAATATGATTACATTGAACTGCGGTAATGAAAATAACCGACAAAACAAGTTAATGGAATTTCCTTCAAGTTTATTTTGGGCATACCTAGCAAAATAAAAATAAAAAATTAATAATCAAATGCCTAGTTCTATTGTATAGGAACTTGGGAATGAGAAGCAAAACAAACTTAATCGACGTTGAAAAATAGAACCAATCGTTGAATATCTAATGAGCTCAAGAAAACAAAATTGTTTGAAAAGACAACCAGTGGCCCTGAAGAGAAACCAACTGAATGAATTAAAGCCTTGTGCATTCATAGATGCTACTATCAACACTATCACATGAACTGCTTTTACTAGCCAAAGTGGTGCAACTACCGACAGTAGAATTGTTTTCGGTATCAGTACCTGTGAGGCCGACTGAATCTCCTACTGATAGCTGACATTCCCTATCTTTCTCGGCAGCCTCCTTCGCTGCTTCACTGGTCAGTGTCACTATCTCATTGGTTTCTTTTTCTTTCTCTGTAAACGCCTCTTTTCTTATTCCGACCATTTGTTCGAAGGTGGGCTCTTTGAAAACTCCGAATGGTCCAATCGGTAGTTCATCTTTGGTTGGCGGACCGGGTAGATCGAGCTTGTATCTCTTCAATTCGTCCATTGACGTTTCGAGGTGACGTACAACAGAGTCTTCATCGTACAAGAAGTCTTTGTATAATTTTACCTGGAATGATGAAATTAGACAAACGTCTTTCATCGTTATATATTCTACTGAGATATCTACGTTCCTCAACACGTGTATATACGCACCTGAATGAAATTAACTATTGAATCCATATCATTGAGTTTCAACAGTTGTCGTTTATGTAACTTGAGTATTGTATAAGCCATTGCTGTTATAACCTTCTCACCATCTAAAAGGTAAATATCCCAAATGCGCAGACACAAATTAAATGGAACCTGTAAAAATCAATTATTGGAACTTTTCTCAATTGACTGTGATTTTTACATGAAATGGGATAGAATAATTAATTTGCTCTCTTATAATAACTTTACTAAGATGGCCTGAAAAGTAACTAATTGGCAAGTGGTTTGAACCTCTGACCCAAATAATATATAACAATTAAGAGGTTAACACATCTTGACCTCGTGACCCACATAAATGATTAAGAATTTGTGTATACAAGCAGACTCACCCTCTCTATAAAGCAGACAAAAAACCACTTCAAAGAATATAATATCGCATCTAGGCCGTGTTTATCAAAATGCTTTTTAATTTTTGGCAAAAGTTTCATTAAAATTCGATCGTGATGGGCAAGAAATCTGGTTAGTTTAGGGAAGCCCTCTTTGTACAGTCCATGCATGGCATATTTTGGACTAGTTAACAGGATGTGTACGGCCCAAAATGCATCTTCCTCGTCCATGTACATGAGCAACACACCAGCCAAACCGGACATACCTTGACAATATCCAACTTCTGAATTATACATTGCATAGGCCGTCAGGACATTGAAGAGCGACTGTTGTTTGATACTGTACCTTTCTCTGTAATGCAAATGCTCTCTAAATTGTCTATTTACATCTGAATCTATTTGTCTAGCATCAGTTGAATATTTTCTGGCCAACTTCATCATTTCACCATATTTGCCTCTGTTTTCTTTCTTGTATTTTTCGACTTGCAATAATTTACACCACGCCTCAGTTCTTAAAGAATTTGGAATGCCTTTATACACACGATTATGCAGCTTCTCTTTGACAACAGAACTATCCCAGTTCTTGAGCATTTTGAGCCACTTTTTTTGACGTTCGACTTCTATTTGGAGCTTTTTTGCTTCCTGCGGGTCCACTTTGGATGGTAATCGTTTGTCATGAATAAAACCATACCGATCTGTTGCGTGGTATACCTCAAAGCCAGGGTCTTCCCACGGATCAATTTCTGCCCCCTCTCTGCCTTGTTCATATCGAAGAAATATTTTCTCTCGCTCTTCAGCTGATCTTCTGAGTAGGTCTCCTTCATTCATCCCATTTACGAATTCTGAAACGTTTCAAATAGAGTACACCCCAGCATTCCGTGCTACTCAAGTTTCAGGTCGCTGTATACGTTTTTCTCAGTACATCCTGAAAGTAAAATTGAATTTACTCCTTCAGTACATATCAAATAATAGCAGCTGTTTTTTACAAAGTGTATGCTAAAAAGAAATTTTACAATGTGACACCTGTCAAGTATTTTATTATGAAAACAACTCGAAAAGTTCTATTCTTGACAATAGTAATTATTAATTGAAAATATAAAAACGAATTATTATATTCACCTACTAACTTATTTTATGTATTAACTTCATATGAATATTTGAATATTCCGAACAGCACCCATTGAAATTGAAAACCACTAGAAGAGGAAGTGTCGACAGCTGTCATACTGCATACTGTCAAATATCAAAAAAAAACACAAAACTCGTGATGGCATGGCAGTTCCATGACGGAATGCAAAAGTTCTAGCGTTTTCTGTTGGGAAAATCAGTGCTAGGTGAGTGCCACTGTTACTATTTATGAGGCACAGTAATCCTGGTGTGTACACACTCTATTTTCCATTGATAAAACAGATGCCATCGGTTTACTTGTTCCACTGGAAAACCAGGTCAGTGAAAAGAAAGAATTGCATTTAGTGAATACTTTTCAGCATGAACTCTTCGAAGTTGAACGACTTCGGTGCTTGGCAGAACGATGGAGCGTTTCAAATTCAGATGTAAAACCTATTTGGAAAAACAAATTCTGATATGGTCACTTCACACGTAGCAACGTAGCTAGATCTGATTTTGAATTCTGCCATTTGCTAGGTTGTTGTGTTAGTCTGTTCGTTTTTTTTATGAAACAAGCTGGGCTTGAGTTAATCCACGGCTTTCGAGCTGTTTGGATACAGCATTTTCTGGAATTTCCATCAAATTGAATTTATATTCAACAGTTTCGACACAATCAAACGTGTCATTTACAATAAACTGAATGCTGGTGCGTTCATTTGATTCACCTCGTGCGATGGATACGTTAGACCCTGTTTTTTGTGAAGCTTGATAAGCGTGAAATAAATGAAGTTACTCTGAATGTTTTGATGTTACCCTTGGAACATGACATTAGAAGTTACGTCGCGACACTGCTAGACTAAGTTACGTCACGACGCTGCTAAACTAAGACACAGTGTTTCGTAACTATACATCAGTATTGACACTTCAGTTACAGTATTCAGTAACTTACGAAATACCTTGACTAGAGGCCATAGGCCGATATCTTGCAACAATATTAAGATTTAGCAAAAGGATAACTCCAATGCCAATCCCCCCCAAAACTGCAAATAAAACTACTTCTTCTTCTTCTGCCCACCACCATGTCAGAAACGAAACTGCAAATAAAACTAAGGCACTAACTACATACAACTATTTAAATCTATATAAAAAAAATATGTTTTTCCGTTAATCAGCTGTCGCCCCCATACGAACGACAACATCTCACAAGACTGACGAATACAAAATGACTTTCAAAGAGCCAATTAATCTCATAAATGAATAATACAAAAATATTCTACAAATGACACTCATGTCAAATAAACGAAGTAGCCTACAAAGAAAAAATGTCCTCCAAATGAAATCTTTATCAGCTATCGTTCATTACCGTCTACCACATTCAACGATAAAGCGGCTGTAAGAGCTGGAAGCTGCAGGACGCAAACATTGATTGATTGATAGAAAATGGTAACGCCATATCACAGCTTAAGGTATGCTGTGGCCATATATTGGTACTTTGACAGTGACTGTACATTACCTATACCTATGCTGGCACGCTGGCAACATGGATTTCATATTTATCTCTTGTTGGTTGGCGGTTGACGGCTGGCAAGACTGGGATTTGTAATTTGTTAATTTGTACAGTTGTCAAATTTTCCTTGAAAATTATTTTACAAAATATTTTCAAATCATTTGAATAATAAGGAGTGAGAATTTTTTTTCACTATTTCATCAAACTTCTAAACAAATTAGGCATTTAAGATGGTAAATTATTATTTTGTATTATTACTTATCAATATTTAACAAATATTTGGACGTGGCCGGTACTTGATATAAAACTCATGGATTGGTGCAGTCCTGCACGAGGAAGGTGTTACATAGCCAAACACGTTTACCAATTCCATGAATTTTTCTCAGTGAAAAATCTGCTGTAAGCATCGCCAATTTCATGAAATTCTGGTCTTCTTTCAGGTCGACACCGCCAAACTGACTCGTTATGTATCCCCTGTGAATCCTGCTGTATTTCCACATCTCACTGTAGTACTTCTGGGCATTGGAATTTTCTTCACAGCATGGTTTTTTGTATACGAAGTGACTAGTTCGAAAAAAACAAGAGACCTCAAAAAAGAACTGCTAGTAGCCCTTGTAGCATCAATTTTTTCAGGTTTCGGAGTACTATTTCTACTCCTATCTGTTGGTATTTACGTGTAATATAAAGTAAGACTTTAGCTACTAGGTTCATATAAGAGTTTTATATTTGTTTTCAAAATAACAGTCGTATTTTCTGTACCTATATTTGAATGGTAAAATTAAAGAAATAAAACATGTCAGTTTGTAAGTTTTTTTGTACTTTATCTAGGAGTGTTTCATGTTATATTGCCAAGTTGAAGAATTCTGTACATTTTCTGTTTCAAACAAAACTGAAGCAGTAATTGTAACTCTAGAACTGAATGCCCATTTCACTTTGATAAAAGTAAGTAATAAGTCTTAGCAAATATCCTAAATTCCATGAGAAACCATACTTATTCCAAGGGCTCCAAAGAGTGAAGAACGTGTTGACCCCCTGGCAAGTATTCTACTTATATTCTGCAGCAAAGTCTACTGAATATTCATTTCACTTGAATTATTAACACTAGAGGTGGTTGTTCATTGAACAAGAAGTTGGTTTTAGTTTTCAGTACCTTCTCTGGTGGATAGGAAGACCTAACAGATTGTCTTTGGTCTGGATTCCTGGCCATACTGGCCTGGAAGGCAATGAAGCTGCTGACCCCCTTGCAAAGGAGGGTGCTGCAAGCAGCTTCATTGGACCAGAACCTGTCATTGGCATCGCTTTACGCTTTGCCAAACAAACATTGACACCTGGATGGCAAGAAGATTTATGGACTTCTGGCAGAATCTTCCAGGATTGGCTCCCTCCAAGGCGTTTATTCACCCTTCGAAGCTTGATACTAAATAGTTGTTGGACTATAGTAGGGATATAGGATGAACTACGATGTCTAACAGGCCTTCTTACAGGTCAGTGTCATTTGAATGATATGCAGAGACTCGGACTGTAGGAAGACAGTGTGTGTGTGTCGCCTCTGTTTGGAAAATGATGAAACAGCAGAGCATATACTTTGTGCCTGCCCCGCTGGGGACCGAATCAGGTTTTTAGATGACTTGAAAGACCACTCACCATATAAACTAATCGGCTTCGTTAAGAAGCTGGGTTTATTTGGTCTAGTGTGAATAGGTGTGCGCCACAATAAACCCTTGCGGGTTGCGGTGGAGGGTCAAATAGACCCTCTCACTTTAGACCTAACTTAACCTTCTTTGGGTTGACAAATCCCAAAACTGAAATTGATTAAAAGAATATATCTGTCGAATTTTGATGAAGATAATGTTCTATCAGGTTTGCAAAGCGTTTTGATGCTGGACAGATGTGGAACGTAGATCTGCATTACATTATACTAAATAATTGAAAAAAACGAAAACAAGTTTTTTCGATAAGACAGGTTTCTCAAATGACTTCTTCGATTATAAACAAATTCATTTTATAGAATACTTGACATTTACTTAATAAATAAAATAGCAGTGAAATGTTATAGCTTCCTGCCAAAGAAAGTCATTCTACTTCCCCTTCTTTAAACAAAAAAATTGTGTGGGAATCTTCCAAAGAGAGGAAGAAAACAATTGATTACAAAATTAACACGTTACATCATGCGAAGAAGTAACTTTCAGACACAAACTGAAAGAAAAAAACCCTCTTGAAACAACTACTTTAATATAAACATTGAATTGTACAAAAACACGTTTTCCTATTCGGTTTGTATTCCAAACATTCGTTATAGAATTGAATCAGATATCATTCACAGGATTGCTCCACAATATGGTATATAAAAGAGGTTACATTTCACTTACATGGAACACTGTCATCCTCAATGGCGTACATCGATGTTTCGAAATGAGACACTTGTCTTATTGCCTCAATGACATCCCAGACATAAGAATCTTGTTCAAATTTCAGGGGAGATTAATTTTTGGGAAAGAAAGATTTTGGCTTTCTACTTCTCCATCTTTTTACAATGAGAGAATCTTCCAAAGAAAGCAATTGATTACAGAATAAACTCAACAAAGATGTGGAGATTATGTGAAAAAATAAATTTCAGACACAAACTGGAAGCGTAATAGCTTCCCTCTTCTGAACATAAAGCTGAAATTAATACAATTTTGTTAAATCTAGGTATATTTGTGAATCAGTATTTGAGGTCAGGATTAGGAAGTCAGGAATTTTTTCAAAAACCTAATTCCGTACATTGCTTTCCAATTTTCATCTTGGTAATGAGTAAGATAAAGAGAAACGTTCCTATGGTAACTATGCAATGTAAACAGTATTCACCAGTAATCATTTTCCTTTCCTTTAAAATACTGCAAACCATGCAGCTAAAATATCTTCAAACTGTTTTGGAAGCACAGGTAATGAATGTTTTTCAATAGAAGCTCTAAAAATAATTATAATGGTTTCAGGATTATGATTTCAAAGTAGCCGGTATCTGTTGGTCCCCCAACAACAAAAAGTTGGCTGTAGCAACATGTGATAGACAAGTTCTTCTATTCGATGATCAGGGTGAGAAAAAAGACAGGTTTTCCACAAAACCGTTTGATCCTGAGGCCGGGAAGAGATCATATGTAATAACGGGAATTGCATTTAGTCCAGATTCAACAAAAATAGCCGTTGCACAGAGTGACTGTATAGTTTATGTTTATAAAATTGGTGAGAAGTGGGGAGAAAAAAAGGTGAGTTTGATTAGAAAAATTATTGTCTTGAAGCCCTCTGACTAGAATTGTACATATTTGCACTTTTTTCCAGGCAATATGCAATAAATTTCCACAAACTTCTCCTGTAACTTGTGTAATATGGTTACTCACAGGCCCAATTATATGCGGACTAACAGATGGAAAAGTTAGGGCTCTTCAAATCAAATCTAATAAGGCACAAAGTCTTTTTGCTGCAGACAGTTTGGTAGTTTCCTTAGCATCAAATCTCAAAGGTAAGGTTTTTATAAGTGCTTCAAGAATAATTAGTATTATTCGTATGGATCTACAGGGTGTCAGTTTGATCTACAGGAAGTCAGTTTTTTCCTCGATAAAAATTAAAAAGTTGTAACCCTCCAAATTTTGAACGTTCAAAGGTGAAAACTCAAAGTTAAAAATATGGAAGTTATCACTTATGTGCTTATAGGCATACCCACTTTTTCCGCGCAAGCGGTCTTCACTCAAAATTGAAAGAGGGAGTGACTACTGTCCCGGCATTACTTCGATGCAAAATATTAAATATTAGAAATGGAACGAAATTTTCGTTACAAAGTCTGAAAGACACGTCAATTTAATTTTGAATAGAATTTCTAGCGATAACTTTGAAAACGAATTAGTGCACAAAAAAGGTGGAATTGAATCATGAGTGTTGGGAACACCTACTCTTGAAACTCTCCTTTTGAAATTTCATGAAATGAATTAAATAGAAGCGGGGAATTACCCTGCAGGTATATTAAAATTTGAAATATACATATTCGATAAAACTTATTAATCTCAAGACAAGGTTCGAAAAATGAAAACATTATTCGTTCGAAGGTACCGGATTTCTATCGGGCCACGTGAATGGAAATGTCATCCGATTTTTCATCACAAGTGATAACAGTGACGATGAGGCTCAGGGTACAATTGTCTCACACTCTGTACCCCCGTATGCACTAGCTTGGCCACAAGGGCATATTTTCGTAGCAGGTTGCGATAAAAGAATATCCGTCTTCAATAACCAAGGAAAGCTAGTTAAGAACTTCGATTACAGCAAAGACTCGAATGAATATGATTTCAGTGTGGCAGCTTGTAGCCCGAGCGGACAGGTATGGAATTTGTATTTAATTTGTTGTTTCAGAAGTTTTGCCAGTTTCAATGTCATGCGTTTTCTTAGCTCCATATATCTCAATGAATTTTGCTGTGATATAGAGTGTGTAAAAGCCAAATGAAATGAATTCATTATTTCAGTTACGGTACATATTCTAATAAAATCCCGAAACACGTCAAATTAAAATTATAATTCGACATACTTCAACGGAAAAATGCTTCCCCTACCTTCAACCCCCGTCGAATGACAGGTACAACCCCCAATGTCTTAAATGGGAAGTATAGATTTTTGTGATACTTATATCGTTTGAAAGGTCTCTTCATTCTCTATTAGAAAATGTTATCATTTTCAAGTTTATTGCAATATACTCAAAACTTATTTCATGTTGAGCTATTGATAATAAGAAAGTAAACAAAAACCATAGCAATGTTATTTTTAGATGGTTAGCTATCCATTCCCAATTGGAACGGCAATAAGAATAAGAGTACAGTCATAAACATTTCTTGTCTGTGGCCCCTGGTCGCCCATATAATTAATAAACATGCTATCAAATGTAGTTGAGGAATAATGGCTCTGCTAGCTGGACTGGCTGAATACTAATTTTTTGTCCGTTTCACAATATTCCTTTATCAATGGCGTGTGTTCGTAGGGTTAGGTTAGGTAGTGAGTGGTTTTGCAAACCAATTTTCGAAACTTTTTCTAGAGATCAATTACCCTAACACCAAACTGATATTTTTGCACTCGACGCGCGTTTCGCTAACAAAGTTAGCATCTTCAGGAATTCATTGTCATGCGTTTTTATAGCTCCATATATCTCAATGAATATTGTTGTGATATAGAGTGTGTAAAAGCCAAATGGAATAAATTAATTATTTCAGTTACGGTACATATTTCAATAAAATCCCGAAACACGTCAAATTTAAATCATAATTGGACATACTTCAACGGAAAAATGCTACCCCTACCTTCAACCCACGTCGAATGACAGGTACAACCCCCAATTTCTTAAATGGGAAGTATAGACTTTTGTGATATATCGTTTGAAAGGTCTCTTCATTCTCTATTAGAAAATGTTATCGTTTTCAAGTGTATTGCAAAAATTAAAATAAAATACATTCGATAAAATACACTCAAAACTTATTGCAATATACTCAAAACTTATTTCATGTTGAGCTATTGGTAATAAGAAAGTAAACAAAAACCATAGCAATGTTCTTTTTAGATGGTATAGTCTATCCATTCCCAATTGGAACGGCAATAAAAATAAGAGTACAGTCATAAATATTTATTGCCTATGGCCCCTAGTCGCCCAGATAATTAGTAAACGTGCTATCAAATTTAGTTGAGGAATAAAGGCTCTGCTAGCTGGACTGGCTGAATACTAATTTTTTGTCCGTTTCACAATATTTCTTTATCAATGCCGTGTGTTCGTAGAGTTAGGTGAGGTAGTGAGTGGTTTTGCAAACCGATTTTCGAAAACTTTTTCTAGAGATCAATTACCCCAACACCAAACTGATATTTTTGCACTCGACGCGGGTTTCGCTAACAAGGTTAGCATCTCCAGGAGAAGCAAATTGATACTGAATCTAGAGACGAGGGTTAGTTAGCTGTTTATATACCTAAAGTTTTTTGGTCCGATGTGGACTTTGTTTGTTCAATGATGGTTATCCTGCAAATTAATTTGTCAACAATAGATTAAAAAGCGGACCATAAAACAACGATCATATTCTCTTACGTTTGCCTCCATACTATTGTGTCTTCAATCCAGTTGAAATGGTTTGGGCCACAATGAAAGAAAGCTTGCGGAAATGTAATCAGTCACCGACTTTGAATGTTGTAGTGCCTCACAATATAAGGGGAGTGGTGAATGAAGTAGGTAATAGTGATGTGTGGAAGAACTGTGTGGCCCACGTTATAAAAGAAGAGAACAAATATTATGTGCAAAGTTCCATAAATCCGATCGTTATTCAACCCGATGATGATTCCACCTNATCTAGTAAAATGTACATTATTTGTTTAAACGCTAGGCTGTGGCAATGGGGAGTTTCAATCGGTTACGAATGTACACTTGGAATACGAGAAAATCTATTTGGGAGGAAATCGCTCCTAAGGAAATACCCAACTTTTACACAGTTACGGCTTTGGCTTGGAAGCGAGACGGTTCAAAGGTGACTTGTGGGGGACTATGTGGAGCTGTGTTCATGTTTGAATCAGGTATGTTCTCTAAGATAATTGCTATGAATTCTTTCATCATCAGCATTTCATTCAATCACGATTCAATTAAATCATTTCAACTATTTCAAAGTTGAAATCAATTTTATATATTCAATCACTTAGATCGCTTGAATGCCAATAAAACTCTTTTATTCACCACGAACAATCATGTTCACTTGTAGGTATCTATCAAACAGGAAGTTATTAACTTTGAAATCATCACAAAATGCTTTTCTGGTTGATTGACGTTACTAGTCTACTTATGTCATGAATTCACCACGACCGTGCAACTGCACGCGATTAGTCATTAGTTAATGAAAAACGTTGCCAAAGCCAGTATTTTAGATGGCAAATTCGGAAGGGAGAAATATAATAATACCCGGAATCCTTGTTATACCTACAGCTGTGTCGATGTAGGTATTTTAAACGTGTGCAATTTCCAAAAGTGTTATTGTTCTAATAGAAATAATTTTTGTGGCAAAATAACGTTTGCCAAGTCAGCTAGTACTATTATAAATGTTTTTTCTGATACACACGGTGATTCTTTGATTATAAATGAGTGTTTTTTTGCTGGTATCTTTATGGCAACACTTTTTTTGACAGATCACGTGTGAATCGTGTCTTGTGTCATTGTCAAACTTGTTCAGTTTGGTCTATAATTTAACCATGAATCGACTTACGAATGAACAACGCTTGAAATTATAGAATTTTATTATCAAAATTCATGCTCGGTGAAGAAAGTGTATCGTGCACTTCTTCCAATTTATGGGCAGATTCGTCGGCCTACTGAGGGAGCTATTCGGAAGCTTGTGACTAAATTTCGAACCTTTTACATTATTGGACATTAGTGAGGACCGAAGGAAATATTGCGGCTGTATCCGCCAGTGTTCGTGATGACCGTGAAATGTCGATTCGCCACCGTTCGCAGCAATTGGGCCTCTGTTTCTCCACTACGTGGAAAATTTTGCGAAAGGATTTGGGTGTAAAACCTTATAAGAAACAGCTGGTGTAAGAATTGAAGTCACACGACCTCCAACAATGTCTAACATTTAGTGAATGGGCGCTGGCAAAGTTGGAGGAAGATCCACATTTTTATCGAAAAATTGGGTTCAGCGACGAGGCTCATTTCTGGTTGAATGGATACGTTAACAAGCAAAATTGAACAATGGCCCAATTAAGAGCCGCCTTCGGTGAACAGTTTATCACACGTTTGGGGTCCGTCAATTGTCCGCCTAGATCGTGTGATTTAACGTCTTTGGATTATTTCTTGTGTGATCATGTTAAGGTTCATGTCTACAGGGATAAACCAGCAACGACAGACGATCTTAAAGCCAAGATTGAAGCATTTATACGTGAAATACCGGTCAATATGTTAGAGAGAGTGTGCCAAAATTGGACCTTGCGCATGCGCCATCTAAAGCGCATTTGCGCTTTAGATGGTGCATGAAATCATCTTCAAACATTAAATTATATTGATCGTTCTATCGATTCCAAAAAAGATTTCACCAATTTTTTCAGAATTTCTGTGTTTTGAAAATCAAATCCCATACATCCTAAAAAATTACCTGTTAGTCATTCATTAGGCGCTCACGTAGAAATATGTCCCCTTGAATGCTAAAGTTGACTTCGTTTGACGATATTTCCACAGTCTCAATCTAGAATGTACTGTATACATTTTCACAACCACTTGTTTCAGTTTTGAAGAGAACCATTTGGAAAGACAAATTCGAAATAACATATGTAGGACCCAGCCAGGTACTTGTTAAACCGCTCGATACAAATGAAAGGGGGGTTATATTGAGATCGCAACACGGAGGTGAAATCGAAGACGTCAAAATAATGGGTAAAGATTCTTATTTGGTTGCCAGGACAGACGATACGTTACTAGTTGCTGATTTGGTGAGAAACCTTCTGAGTGAGGTGAGATAATATTAGATGGGCTGAGAAGTTCGTAGGCTGGCACATAGATGGCACTACTAGTATTGTATATTATTGTATATACTGGTCTTGTATATACTAGTATTATATATACAAACTGTATACTAAATTCAATCCATTTTTTGATGTTAACCTATGAATTTTTCAGCTCAACGTTTCAACTGTTATAAGTGCTAATTTTCTTGGTGGATAATTTGATAATAAGAAAAAGTAGCTGGTGTTAATATGGAAATTCAATACATTTTCCTGTAGATATGATAAATAAATCCCTACAATTTCAAGGTGCCGTGGAACAACTCTGGTCGCCACGAGAAATTCTACTTCGAGAATGCAAATGTTTGTTTGGTTTTCAATGCAGGAGAACTAACTCTGATAGAATATGGAGACAACGACATTCTTTGTTCTGTCCGAACAGAATTCGCAAACCCTCATCTGATCAGCGTGAGGCTCAACGAAAGAAACCAAACGTCGGACAACAAAAAGCTCGCTTATTTATTGGACCTGAAAACGATTTGTATTGTCGATTTGGTCAGCGGATTTATGATGGCACAAATTAATCACGACTCTAAAATTGATTGGTTAGAACTGAGTGAAACTGGACATAAACTGCTGTTCAGGGATAAAAAACAGAGGTAAAGATATATTTTTTTTCATAAAACTGTTGGTTATTGGATCTGTGATATCTCAGTGAATACGTATTCAATTTAATCGCGCCATTTGAATCAGTACACTTTTGCCAACATAATACAAGTCGAATAATTCTGTCAGCATGAGAATAAGGAATTTTTTGGCTGCTCCTGGCGAAGGTTTTACCGATAAGAAAGTTATCGAAGTGCCTGAAAAGATGCTAGTCAATTGGCGGGAGGTCTGGGGACTGTGGTGGGCGAGGCAAAACTTCGACGCTCAAGTCGTTTAATTATCGGACAGTGATTTGTAAACTTGAGGACGGATGTTGTCGTGGAGCAGAATCGGACCTGTTCTGTTAATCAGTGCCGGCTGCTGGTGGCGCAATTTTCGTTACATTTCGTCGATTTCCTCACAGTAGGACTCTGCTGTGATAGTTTGGCCCGGTTCTGTATCTGTAGAGTAGGGAGGGTCAGTGTAGACCCATAGCACTTAGGCCACATGTGACCCATTGTACATCCTCCCGAAGAGTTGTCCTCCTAGGTCATCACCCATCCTGTCTTTTCCAGGAAGGTGGACAGGTCACTAGCAGACATCTCCTTTATATTGGCAGGTGTAAGCCAAGCCTCGCCGAATACAAACTATCTTTGGCAACCTTGAGGTGTCTCATGGTGGCCTCCGCGAAGGTTTTGGAAGGTACAGCGACATTACTGTCGTCGCGCGGCATCTTCAACCTTCTTGGGGTTCCCTCCGTGGAGGTGCACAAGTGAGGAAGCTTTCCTGCAGGGGCAGCCGGTTCCTTGCCTTTATTCAAGGCGGAGCTCTTGGCGCACGCCGCAGGAAGTGCCCTTGCTGTTGGAGATGGAGTGGGGAAGGAGGAGGGTGCACTTATAGTTGCTGCCACTCCTGCTTCCTTGGCTCTCTTTCTCCTTTTGGCATCGTCGCCGCAAATGCACTTACGCCTTGGCCTTTGTATTACATCACGAGGTGATCTGCTATGTCCAGCCTCATTTCAAGCGGTAGATTGGGGTGGACATTTCTGTTCATCCCCAGCCACCGCCTAAGATTGAGGTGAGCATTTCTGTCAAACCTCGGGATTGGTTTTTTGTTTTTGTTGTTTCTGTTTTTGGGTTTGTTTCATTGGTCACCTTTGGCAGAGCCCGGCATTGCCAGAGGTAGGCTGATTGCACTGAGGTTTCGCCACGTTCCCCAAGGGGACAAAAGCAAAGGAGAACAAACTCTGAAATCTGACAATTTTTGACGATCGTTCAAATCGTGGGGCACCCACCTTTCGAGCATTTCCACCTTTCCAGTGCAAACTACGCAATTTGGAATTTGCGAGACATTGTCTCTACAGAAGTTATACAATTCATGTGTCATGGACTGGTACAATCAAGGCTACAGTATGGATTGATCTTCTGGGGTAACTCTGCATATACTGACCGCATTTTTAAGGTTCAGAAAAGAGTCATTTGCTGTACTAACGAGTCTCGTCCACTAGACTCTTGTAAACTACTATTTAACAAATTTTGTATCTTAACATTGCCGTGCCTTTACATATTACAGCTAGTGTTATTCGTCTATGACCTATGATAGTAAACACCTATATCCAAAAAAACTCTAATATACATAATTACGCTAGTCGGGGTGAAGATATTTTATGCCACCCCTACTATCGCTTGAGAGTGAGTCAGAATTCCCCAAAATACTTGAAGATTAAATGCTTCAAAAAAATAACAAATTTTATAGGGATCAATAAAAGTAGAACTGTAATGAGGAATGAACTATATGGTTTCTTGTTAGATATAACTGCTTCTACAGTATGTAGGAATCTCTTGCTTTCAGTGCTTAGATATATGACATAGTTTCTTTTATACATGTAGTCTTTTTTAAATTTGTTCAAGATCAAAAATGTGTGGCTAGCTTTCGGCGTTTTACTTCTTTGACTAGTCCCATAAATTTTCTCATGTATTTAATCTTGTAATTGTGTATGTGTGGGAATTTTGGTGATGATTAAAACTATTTCTATTTCCATTACGTTTTAAACAATCAAAAACCGCATGGGAGCTGATGCCCAGTTCTGCCGCCGTTCCACGCACTGTTTTTCATGGGTCAGTCTTCACCAAGGTCAGAAGCAATGTGGCACACTCTTTATGTTATAGCCATGAAACATCATAATTTAGCCCTGGCTGAGAGGTGTAGTAGCGCTCTTGGAGAAGTGGCTACTGCATATTTTCTACACGACACTTCGATGGAGGCTCAGAAATTCGTTGAGAAATATAACGAAAATCCCAATAATTCACCAGATGTTTGGGCACGCCTGTCAATTTTATATGGGGACCTTTCCACGGCTGAAAATATATTTCTGGAACAGGGAAATATCGAAAAGGCTCTAGATATGTACAAAAAGTTGCATAAATGGGATGAAGCTCTAAGGTAATATACGAGGTTAATTCAAAAAAGGTGAATTTTAATTTTGTTAGAGTTCTATGGGTTTTATGTTCCATGTCACATGACACAATGTCTTTATGTATGAGTAGTGATATACGTTTATAATGAAAAGGCAAACCACTGCGGTATTTTGTCATTTATTTGAAATATAACGGTCTCCATTTCATGCACAAATAACAAATTTTTCTCAAAAAATATTCATTCAGTTTCCATTTTGTCCCCTTTGAAGTAGGCCCCCTCAGATATAATACACTCGTGGCAGCATTTTTTCAATCTTCGAAGCAGTTCTGGAAGCCGTCTCTTCAATCTTGGGATCTGGAAAAAGTCGCAGGAGGCCAAATGATGTGAATACAGTGGCTGAGGCATAATTATGGTGTTGTTTTTGGGCAAAAAAACATGAACAAGCAGTGAAGAGTGACCAGGTGCATTATTGTGATGCGAATAATATGAACTGCTTTTCCACAATATCGGACGTTTCCTTCGTATTGCTTCTCGCAAGCGGCGCTCAACTTTTGACCGTACACCAAGTGGCTAGAACTCCTGATGCACTACGCTTATTTTGGTCTTGGCTCTCCTCGGCTTTTCCATTGGAACGATTGCCACACGTTTCATGTTGTTGATGTGCTGGGCGATCGTCACATCTTATCACATCCCCGTGGGTTGGGCTACCTATCGGGCGCGTCCCCAGGTGAGGGATACGGGAACGGCCAGGGGACTGGAGGCCCTGTACGGGAAGTCAATGTGGCCTTACGGACGGGGTCGCCGGACTCCTGGTCAGTGACAGAAATAGGTGGGATGAGGGGAACTAAAACTCCCCAAAAGCCTTTGCAAAACATGCCAATGTGAACCAGCCTACCCAAGCTAAAGTGTAAGGAATCGTGCCGACAGCTGAATGGCCGCTGGGTGACATGCGGTTGCGAACGATCCCGTTGGGGAACTGGGCGAAACCTCATTGCAATCAGCCTACCTCTGGTAATGCGGGGCTCTGCCAGAGACCAACTCTTCCCCTGCTACTTGTGGGAACACACAGGAATGAAACAAACACAAAAACAGAAACAACAAAAACCATTCCCGAGGTTGGACAGAAGTGCTCACCTCAATCTTAGGCGGTGGCTGGGGATGAACAGAAATGTCCACCCAAATCTACCGTTTGGAATAAGGCTGAACATAGCAGATCACCTCGTGGTGTAATACAAAGGCCAAGGCGTAAGCCCATTTGCGGCGCCGAGGCCAAAAGGAGAAAAAGAGCGAAGGAGGTAGGAGTGGCAGCAACTATAAGTGCACCCTCCTCTTCCTCCACTCCACCTCCAACAGCAAGGGCACTTCCTGTGTCGGGTGTTCAATGTTTGTTTGGCAAAGCGTAAAGCGATGCCAATGACAGGTTCTGGTCCGATGAAACTGCTTGCAGCACCCTCCTTTGCAAGGGAGTCAGCAGTCTCATTGCCTTCCAGGCCAGTATGTCCAGTGTAGCAAATCCGGAATGGTTTTACTATTATTATAAGTCAAAGAACAAAGTATACCGCCCTTGGTTGACCGTCAAGAGAACCCTTCAAACTTCCATGTTTTTGAACCTCCTCAAAATTCACGAAGACTTACTTCCCAAACAAAAACTTTCGCAGCCCTCTAAGATCGCTGCCTTAAGCGAAGAGCTCCCAGAACCCTCTGTCTTTTCTCCTTTCCAAAGCCAGGAAAATAAAATCACGAGTGTCTCGCCCCTCGCGTTTCTCAAACCGTTATCTCGTCATCGTTGCCACCCTACGACGTAGGTCATTAAAAACATCTCTCGATGAGTTCACAAAACTTACAATTCTGGGATATTGATATGCCCATATTAACATTTCGAGCTACGTGATAATTATACCTGTCTGGTCATCTTTTCACGCTGATGAATAGTGTTTATCTTAACACTCTCGGACCCTCGGCCATAAGTTAACGTTTTATGAGAGACAGTTACGGTGTTTAAAAATAATCTGAATAACACTAAGATTACACCAGGAATCCAGACCAGAGACAATCTGTTAACTCTTCCTATCGAGGAGAGTCGTCTTTGGCAATTTGCTACCAACTTAGACGTTCCTCGGTAGGAGCCAAGAGCTTTCAATGCTGCTTGACTGTCCGAAAAGATTTTATTGACTTGTGTATGAGGTTGGATTCTTCCAGTCTCTCCGCACATAATTCAATAGCGTAAATTTCCGCTTGAAATACCGCATAGGTTCCTAGGCAGGTTGGTATCTCTGTCCTGGGTCTGCGACTGAAAACACCTGCACCAGAACCGGAAGATGTTTTCGGTCCATCTGTGAACCAACAACTATCTGCTCTTGATATTTCCTTCTTCCGGAGGATCCAGTCCTCTCTACTCGGGAACAGTACTTTATAGGGCAGTTCGTAGTTGACAGTTGGAGGCATGAAGTCAGAGGTCATTTCCAGAATACTGTAACTTCCAGTGTTAACCAACAGTATGTTGCACTCTGCATTAAATTGATTTGTACAATTGGCAATGTGCACAAGTCTATCTAGCCTCTCTCTCCAGAAAAATGTGGAGAGGAGGTGGATCTAGAAGGATATCCATGGCCGCTGACGGTGTGGTACTGATGGCACCACTGATGGCCAGACAAGCCTGTCTCTGTAAGCTAGAGAGCTTCGCCTGGGCCCACGATATAGAGGCGTTGGCCCTTCTGACACAAGCACGCTATAAGGGTCAAGGAGCCAGGTTCCAACCTGTTTCAATTCAAGCTGTAAATCTGTGTTACAGACCTCGTCTGTTTCTGTTTTTCACGGCCTGAAATACGTCAATATTATTCGCAGGTTAGCCGAGCAAAGAAACTATGAACACCTGAAAGATCTGAAAGATGAGCACATGTCTTTGTTATTGCAAACCGGGCAATACGAAAAAGTGGGTCAAGTTTTGGAAAAAGAAAGAAAATACGAAGAGGCCCTGAATATGTATATAAAATCTAATAAGCTTTTAAGAGTACCTAACTTACTTTCTAAACACCCACAACTCTTGAACGATCTAGCAGTAGTTGCGAATGTCCTGAAGAACTTGATAAACCAGGAACTCTTCGAACCAGCAGCTGAGATATATGAAAAGCTAGACAAACCGGACTTAGCGATGGAGTGCTACAGAAAAGGTAAGCGCCAATGTGACCCAAAAAACTCGTTTGGATTTCAACCTTGCCTTTCAGGAAAGGTCTGGAACAAGGCTGTCGACTTAGCGAGAAACGTAAGCCCCGATCAAGTCGTTCAACTTGAAGAAGAATGGGGTGACTTCCTGGTAGAAACGAAGCAAATGGATGCAGCCATCAGCCATTATATAGAAGCCGGTTGTACATTGAAAGCTTTGGATGCAGCTGTTGCAGCTAGACAGTGGAAAAAGGCCGTGCACATCGTAAAAGTTATCGATGATCCGGACACCGTGAAGAAATATTATGTCCTTATTGCTAGTCATTTTTCAACAATCAAGGTATGTTCTTGAATTATTGAATAGAACTGGCCGATAGTTGATGAAAACCCATTGCCAAACTTACTGTAAGATTTTCACTATGAAACCACGACAAGTATTTCGCTACATAATAGCTTCTTCATAAGAATCATAAATCATTTTTAAATTAAAACTAACGCTCAATTCATCTTCACTATTTGAAATCTTTGTTTTCCGCTCTATTCGCTTTCTGAATTCCTACTCCCCTCCCCGGAAAGCCGGCCTTTTATATCGGTAACGATCGCTCTCGATTTCTCTAGTGGTTTCGGTACTCGTCTACACTTTTCGCGGCGGCTCGCGGTGAGTCAAGTGTTTATTCGCTGGCTGAGATATCAGTCAGGGCCGGCGTCAGATTCGTTACCTAACCTAACCTAGAATTAATCACCTTATTGGACTATAGGTACTTAATCTGTGCTATAGGTAGCAGCCATTGTTTCCAAGGTATACAATGGTTCAAATTGAATCGTTTCCCCTTGAGAAATCTATTGTATAGTGAAAAACTTGTAGCGGATTTGTAAACTTTTCATAAAAAAATGTCTCAGTAAGCTTTCAGGGTATGATAATTGATTTCAGCCATGATTGAACCTATTTTTTTCAGGAGTACTCCACCGCTGAAAAACTGTTTGCAGCGTGCGGTATGTACAAAGAAGCTGTGGATATGTACAACGAGGCCGGTCTCTGGGATAAGGCGCATGCCATTGCTTCCAAATATCTGGATCACGAGGAAGTGTCCGACATGTATATAAAACGTGCTGAACAATTGGAAGAAGCCGGCAAATACAGGGAAGCGGAAAAACTCTATTTGTCGGTCGATTCTCCAGATCTAGCTATCGCCATGTATAAACGTGTCGAGCACTATGATAACATGGTAACCTCATTGTCAATTTCATATTTTATACCTGCCTTAGCCGTACAACTCCACAATCTAGAGGACATTTGTTTGATATCGCTAGAGGTATTTGATTTTCCTACCGCCTATGACCTTGAAAAAATATGGGAGTCGCTTCTACGGCACGAAACACAAAATTATTCAAGTGAAAACAAACAAAGTTCACACTGACCGAGTTGAAGATTGGTATAGCAGAAATTACTATTATATATCCTCGTTAATCCTTAGCTCGCACAAGTTTCGACTTCTGAGGGTCGTCGTTCGTAGGGGTGCGACAGCTAATTAACGGAAAAACAGATTTAAAACAGATATCCTTCTCTCTTGTAGAATTGTTAGAGCTTGTCGATCTTCATAAACTTGTAGGGCAGAAATTCGGCTTAGCGTACTCCCGCTGTGGCTACCTTGTATATGAATCGACATAACTTTTGATTTTGAGTTGATTGACATGACCCCTAGCGTCCGGAAAGGTCAAATAAAAAAGTCAGGGTCCGCAGAGGTCAAATAATAAAGTTGTTCCCAATGGCTTAAAACACTATATATATATTTCCATCAAAAGAGCCTCCGCACCTGACCTAACCTAACTCAACCTAACCTAACCTACCTAAACTAATCAACATAACCTATCCAACTTAACCTAACCTAACTTTTTCTTTTGGTGGAGGTGAAAACTTATGTTTTCCGTACGCTTGTGCTGTCTATCGCGATACAGATATGTCGGACTCGAGACGTGTCTCGCCTACCGCCCAAAACATCTCCTTTTGTTCCCCCCTATGCCTGGAACCGCCTTTGGCAGGCATAACATTGGGCAGCAGGTGGAATATTTAGTTTTATATTCCTTGCATGGCTCTCTCTTCCTGTTCTTTGGCCGTCATCAGTTTCTTTATATATTTCCTTATAATACCAAAATTCTTTCTACCTTGCACCATTTGTCCGATGAGATTTTCTGGTGTCAATGCAGTGCCTATTTCCAGTTCAGCCTCCAGTGTGTGTTCCGCCAATGGTCGTCCGTGGATTTGCCGATCCTGTGTGTGTTGCCGTGACCTGTTGATACATGTGTCAATCAATAATCAGTTTCCTGGAAGGCGCACCCAACCCATATGTTGATGTTGGGGATTAGCACTTTTGTCCACATATTCTTTCTTCGTCCCATCGCTGCTGCCATTCCTCAATTATACTTTCTCTCATCCTTGTTTTTTCTTGAGATCTCTCTGTGGCCTCTGTTCTGTGAAGGAGGGTTCTCTCTTCAACTAATAGATCTATGGGAGGTGTGTCTGTAATCACCTGCAGGGATCCGGTTGCAGCAGTTCTGTAGGCCATGACCGATCTCAGCAAGCACTTCATCTGTACTTTCGACAGCATGTCGTGATATTTTCTCATTTTGAGTGCACTTTCCCACGTAGGGGCAGCATATAGTACAGTGGAGTAGACAACTGCATTCATCACCTCTCTTTTCCTCAAGGAGGGTCCTCCGATATTGGGCATAATCTTTGTAAGCGCCTCTGCTTTCTTATTGGCTTTTTCTTTTATGTATTTAATGTGCTCGCCGAAGTTCATATGGGTGTCCAATATTACCCCCAGGTATTTTACTGTTCTTCCTGGTACGATTTCTGTGTTCAGTAGTTTAAACCTGATTTTCCTCGAGCCCTTCAAAATTATTGCTTCCGTCTTCTGCGGAACCTAACGTAACCTAACCTAACCAAACCTAACCTTACCTAACCTAACTTAACCTAACTTAACCTAACCTACCTAACCTTGACCATACATAAACATGCTGACTGTTTAGCCGTAAATGACATCGTAGCGCAACCTTTCTGCTTATACTTCGGGCATCGGAAGCGTCCAACACCCGGGTCTTGCTTGATGACACTCATGGCACACCTATGGCTGTTGCACGTTTTCATAGAACGAAGAAGGCCTTGCTGTTAAGCCCAAATGATACCGTCCATCGGTGTCTTCAGAAAAGAATCCAAATTCCAAACTGACGACTAAATAACTAGTAGCGTCGCAACGCTGATATAGCGTTCACCGACTTTTTTATTTGACCTTTTCGGACGCTAGGGGTCATGTCAATCGACTCAAAATCAAAAGTTATGTCGATTCATATACAAGGTAGCCACCTAGAGGGGGTACGCTACGCCGAATGTTAGTCACTTGTCGCTTCCCATAAACGTATAAACATTATAAATAATTTCTCGACCATAACTGTGACTTACTTTCTTGTTTGAGTTTGTAAACTGTTATTTATAGCAAAGAAATAAAGAAATCACTGTCAAACTCTCCTTGAGTTTGAGTGACACTTTATTGTGAGATTTTTACTAAACAGTTCACTAAACAAAAACGCAAACAACTGCAACACCTGTTTTGACACGGAGCTTGCTCTAAGAAAGCTATACGCTGTCTGTNTTCATCAATTTTTTCAAATGTTTTGAATTGTTTTGAAAATCAAATCCTATACCTCTTAAAAAATCACCCGTTAGTATTATAATACTAAATAATAATACTAATACTAATTTAAATGATAAGGAGCGATTAGAAACACTTTTTGAACAACCAGTTGTAACGGTAATAATAAAAGGTATCTATACATTTTTTGCAACTGATATATGATTATTTTAATGATTATTCAACTATCATACTTTGACTCAAACCCTACCACGACCAGAGCATCCCGAGTTAACGTTTCATAACAACCAACAATAAACTAATTTGACATCATGCACTATTGCAACTGTCGAATCAATTTCATTATTATAATTGTTATTAGAACACACATTACTTAAAATTCTTCCTTTCAAGTGTGTTTACAAACATTCTATGTTACATTAGAATGTATTTTGGAATTATAGAAAATACATCTATTTCATTCAATTTTTTGTAACGTCGTTTCTCAGGTAAGATTGGTGGAAAAATATCATCCGAATTTACTACAAACCACTCATCTACATCTCGGACAGCAACTAGAAAGCCAAGGAAAGTTTCGCGCTGCAGAAATTCACTATTTGGCAGTCAATGAGTGGAAGGCTGCCATGAATATGTACAGAACTCTGGGAATGTGGGAAGAAGCGTACAGGGTGGCCAAACAGAACGGTGGTTCATCTGCGGCTAACCAGGTTGCGTTCCTTTGGGCCAGAACTTTGCCTATCGATTCGGCTATCAAGTTGCTGAACAAGTATGGTATTCTGGAACCTTGCGTCAACTATGCGTGTGAGACGTATCAGTTCGAATTTGCTTTTCAGCTGTGTAAGAATCTGCCAAATAAAGTGAGTATACCACCAAATATTATGTAGAATTATATTCTACTTGATACAATTGAATTTAAAATTAATGTCCGCCTGACTTTGTACAAGCCTCTTCAGCCAGCCCACCTATAATTGATGATATTTTTCAGGAATTCTCCATTTGAGTTTCAGGTGCCGGATTTTTTGGCTCATACGTACGAGGTCTGTTAAAAAAATAAGGTGAATTTTCATTTTTCCCAGAAAATATTTGTTCATTGATCATTTTCTATACTATTGGCAGTCCCTCATCTTGTGTAAAGAATTCGTCCTTCAGTTGGAAATAACAGCAATACCCTAATTACTTCTATAGATAAATTCGTTTAATCTTTCAGGTTCCCGGATAGCTTCCTCTGTATGATTTGGAGTGCTTCTTCTACCGGAACGTTGGTATAAAGGCTTTCCACGTCGAAACTGATTAGTTTATCTTCATGTGTAACTTCAGTTGCCCCTAGTAGTTCGACAAAATGCCTTGAAATCTTCACAAAAGACGATGTTTTTTCAATCCTTAAAGCAGTTCTGACATGCACTTTTTGGTATGTCCTTGAGCTCTGTCAGCGATTAAATTTTTATCTCCTCAATCGTCGCGAAGCGCCGTCCTTTCATGGGTTTCTTCAACCGTGAGAATAGGAAAAAGTCGCAAGGGGTCAATATGGTGAATATGGTGGCCGAGTCATAATTACGGTGTTGTTATTGGCCAAAAAATCACGAACAAGCAATGATAAGTAGGCCGATGCATTACCATGTTGCAAGAAGCATGAATTGTTTTTCTATAATACCAGATAATACCTCTTATTGATCGTATGACCACGTGGCAAGAACTCCTGATGCACTACGCCATGGTAATCGAAAAAAATTGTGAGCTAAACCTTGAAATTTGATTGGGCTTGGCGTGGTTTTTTGGTATTGGCTCCCTCGAGTTCCTCCATAGGGACGATTGGACTTTGGTTTCGATATCGTAACCATATACCCATGATTCGTCATCAGTTATGGCCCTTTTAAGCAAATCTGGATCGCCATTGACGTCATTCAACTATTATTCACACCTTGTCAGCCTTCTGTGAAAAGCTTTCACCACTTATAAACCTTTTTCTGTTCCAGAGTACAATCCCGTATACAACTGTCAACATTTCAAGTGTTTTTCAGCACTTAATTCTATTTTGTACACAAAATTTGATACAAATTCATTGATCAATTTTTTCGATAGCAGAAAATCGCGGAACACGTAAAACACTTTCAACTTTTGTGTCTCTCACCAACAAACTAAACATGCTAAACAGCTGGAAATGTGAACATATATTCGAGACGACTGCACCAAAAAAATTGCTAATTAAATATAAGTATCCGACGAAATTTGAACATTTACCTTATTTTTTCAACAGACCTTATACATATTCAGTAAAATGTCTACATTATTCTGTATTATCAGGTCACGTGTTTCAAACTGCTTTTCTATTTTTCCTTTGATATTCAAAGTTAGTTTATACTTGAATATAATTTAATAGTAAAGACATAGACTGGCTATATTGATTTTGTCCGCCTAGGAGTATACAGACGTTGAAATATTGTTACGGACGAATTCTTTCACATATTTTTGGTATTAGGTGCTATAATACAAAAAAACTTTAGTCCCCATCCCCATCTAGTTATTCACTACTTCGATCTTTGCTTGGTATTGGAATATTTCCTCTGGTTCAGTCTCAGCCAACATTTCACTCTGATGAATTCCAAGATCCATGAAATTCTTCTTCCCGAATTAATTGGCCTGACCTGAAAAATCTTTCATTTTACCTTGTACTTTTTCTGTCAAGTCTATCTAGAATCTTTTTCTGATTTCATTGAGAGACTCATCTCGTTCCTCTTTTTTGTTGTAGTTGTCTTAGCAACGTCATTTGTTCTTCTTTTCTTCTTCTTTCTTGTTCTTCTTTCATTGACTTCGTCGCTCTCGTATCTTCGTTTTAATTTGTCCGTGTTCCACTATAAACTGATACTGAATCCGGTTGCTTTTCAACCGTTATCCACTATAGTTAGTTGGAAATTATTTTCTTTCAATTTCTGTCATTTTATAGACAACTGAAGTTCATTTGAAGTACGCGATGGCGTTAGAGGACGACGGTAAATTTTCGGATGCCGAAGCTGAATTTCTTCAAGCCAATAAACCGAAGGAAGCCATTCTCATGTATGTTCATGCACAAAATTGGATAAATGCATTGAGAATCGCCGAGAAGCATGAACCTGATTCGGTTCCAGAAGTACTGCAGGCACAGGCCGCGCAATGTTTCAAGGACAAACAATTTCCAGAATTTGAGGTTCTCCTACTGAGAGCCCAAGCTCCGGAACTGATTGTCCAAAAGTACAAAAGCGAAGGTAATAATATTTTGATTATGCATTTGTTATTCATCGTGATAGTAGTTTCTTTCTAATAAAGTGAGACTCGTTTCTTGCTTGCTTTTCACCCTACATTCAACCTAACCTATCATTCTTCTTCTTCTTTATTCTACATTGCTAACACTTAATTTCTTCCACTGTGAACCACAAAACAGTCGACATCTACAAATCATACGCATGTTCTAGAATCATTGCAATCAAGTAATTTATCTCAACAGCAATATGGTTTCTTTAATGTCTATACTTTTTTGTTCAAGAAATGTGGATCGACGCGTTAAGGGTGTGCAAGGACTACTTACCTCATCTGTATCCAACTTTGCAATCGGAATACAGCAGTTCGCACCACAATAAAATGACGGACGTGAATATAGAAACTCTTCTATCTCGAGCTAATGAATGGGCACTCGCCGGACAGCACAAGCAAGCTGTAGATTGTCTCTTACAGGTCAATACGAGTATCACAGAACCATCTATAGTGAAAAGGGCTTTACTCAGAGCTGCCGATATGGTCAATAAGTTTCTTTTTGGAGACGAAGCCCTGGAGATTATCAAAATATTATCCCCAAGGTAAAATACTTTTCATGGATCTGTCATTGAGCGCTTTCATTCTTTAAATTGAAATGAAACAAATTGTGTGTGAAATAGCATCGACATTTTTTACTCGTTTGATGCCATTGTGTGTGGAATATAACATCTTTCAAATTCTGCCACGGCTTCTCCATAGTAAAAATCAACCAGTAAGTCCACTCCCACTACTTTCATTCATAAATTCACAAAGTTCTCGGTGACCTCGAAACGAAGTGCGGAGCCAATTGACCTTATTAAGTGATGCGACCCCATGGTTGCCAACTGCGGTAAATTAATGACATTTGACATTTGCTAATGAATAAATAACCTATCTTTTTGAGATCTTTCTGCATTTTCATTTTTGGGACATAATTGAGACACACCATCTTATATTTCTTCATAGCTGATTCTTCATTCTGGAGCCCCAACTTCATATAGGACGACTGGAAATCTTTTTTCGGTCATATTCTGGAAATCAGTTTCTCATTTACCAAAAATGAAAATGAAGAAGGAACCTAGAAAGAAACCACACGTCGATGGTGTTCAGATCATCCAATTCAGGCCAGAAGAAGTTAGTAATTATCGACCTATATTGCTCGTCGTTGACAGTGATGGCCTACGTCGTTCTCAAAGAAATATGAACCGATGAAACCGGTATCCCAAAACCCACACCAAGCAGGACTAACGGGGTCTTACCTTTTAACGTGTGATTCCTAACACGGGTTGGACGATAGCAAGTGAAAATGGATCGTTCAGCCTGCAGCTTGAACCAGCGACTCACAGCATCGGTCGATTGAGAGAGTGAAGAAAGCACCCACGTCGAACCGCCCGGTTACAGACCTACTATGATGGCAGTTATCGATTGTCAAACTTCGGAAGTCCCTGTTGGAAGACCCTGTACTTGTGAATGGCCAAAGGAGAAAATCATTATCATTATATCTCGCACTTCTCATTGGCCACAAACAACTCGATCCCGCAGTAAGACGATATTCATAAAAGAATGTTATATATAGTATACAAGAACAAAGGCTTTCACAGCTGAAGTCACAATACGAGAAAACATAATCCGAATTGTAGTACCAAAAGTTTCATCCGTTACTGCAGCAGACATCTTCAGTGGTGTACGCGTGGATTGCAAGAACGAGTAGTATGACTGAAGGTGTTCTGTGTTCACTCGTATTTATACTGGAAGGTGGCGGTCAGGTTGAGGTGTCCTGATTGGTCCTCACTTATGCCAGGTTGTTATGATTGGTCAACTTTGTTGATAGGTGTATTGTTGGCGGTATGTCGATCGAAGTTGTATTCTAGTCTGGGCCTCATTAAATACCGCATACCAACTTCTGTTGACCCGTACACCTTCTTTTATTCTCTTGAAATTGTTGGTATGCTTATATAAATATCAATGACCTCCCTAAGAAGCCGTGAGTCGTGATGCGTTGTATTAGAAAGAACAACAGTTTCTTCGTATTTTATCACGTGATCTGTTTCTGCTAGGACATGTAAGGACATGCAAGTGTTGATGCTCCTTTTGGTGATTTACATCCGAACTACCATTCATATTCAATCGTTCAATAATCGTCCGTTTTTTGTTCAAGAATCCGATTCGATCAATATGCGCGGAAAACCTCGTTTCTAATCCAAGTTCAACTTTCAACTCGAAATTGAATTTGTTTATACAGGGTATCCCAAAGGCGAATGTCCAAACAAAATGAGGTGATAGAGAATCCACTTCCAACCAAAATGAACCATATGCATTATTATCCGGTTGTTTTGTAGATTAATTGAATCGGGAGAATATACTGTTGCTGCTCAACTATATATTAGCATGGAGATGATGAAAGAAGCAATCGACTCATTTATTGTAGCAGAAGAGTGGGGTAAAGCCAGGAAAGTTGCAAAAGAATTGGAACCAGCATATGAAAGTTACGTGGAAAGTAAATATAAAGATCGTCTTCTGAAAAAAGGAGATGTGGAGCAACTGGCAGATGTAGGTGAGTTGAATAAGTGTCACTATTTTTATTCGGGTTTGAAGGCTGTCGATTTTTGGAATTTCTGACGTTTCGCTGGCGCGAGTGGCTAGCTTCTTCAGAGGTTTATACATCTTGAGTTTATGTCCAATAACAAACTCAAGATGTCGGTTAGCGAGAGGTCTGGGGAGTATGGTGGGTAAGGCAGAACATCGACGCTCAATTCGTTTAACTTTCGGAGGAGGATCGGACCACTTCTGTTGACCAGTGTTGGCTGCTGCTGGCTTAAAAATTACCCACTCCCCATAACAACTCTCATGTCAAAAACTTCAGATAGCAGATGCTGTATTGAAATCTTAGCCAAACAAACACAGCATATTCTTGTCTCAGTTTGTTAGCTCTTTCATGTTTTTTCTTAAACGCTGCACGCCCTGTATAGCATTTGATTGGCGTGTTTTGAGAAACAACACCCTGTATACAAGCAGCTGCTATGTTGTTTTTCTTTTACGTTAGCAGGCATGTTTTTTCTTTAACGCTGCACACACCCTGTATACCTCGATGGCAGCCATGTTTTTTCTTTACCGCTGCACGCCCTGTATACCCAATCATTATTGTTCTCATATAATTCCAAGCGCGTTCGACTCTGTATCTTTCAAACAGCAATAACGCCACCGCTAACCCGATTCTCAACCCATAAACATGGAAAAACATTGATAAGCCACTTCCGTTCCAAAACTCTTACAGCTGCTCTACTAACTCTGCCCTAAATTTTGCAGCGTTGGTAACGTTTTGTCACAGCTACCAATTTCATTCACCCAAGTTTTCTTTCAACTTTTTGTAGTTATTGTAGGATAAGTATTTTCTTTTGATGAAAATTCTATTTTCAGATATAATCGGTGCTCTTGATCTTCTAGCAGAGCAGGGACAGTGGGCCCGTTGTATTGAGAAAGCTAAAGCTCACAATACTCCGATTTTACACAAATACGTGGCACTATATGCTGCGAAACTTTTGAAAGATGGTTTCGTTCTTGAAGCACTCAATCTTTATTCGAACTATGGTGCTCCAGCAATGCCTCAAAATTTCAATATATACAACCATATTGCAACTGAAGTGTTTGGTGCAAATGATTTGGCAGGACCTTCCAGCTACGGTGTTTGGGAGCAACTTAGACAGATGCTTTACGAAATAGTAAGTACTATGAATACTATGGAGTGATTAGATAGCAAAATTGAGTTTCATTAAAGATTGTTCTCATGTGTTATTGAGATATTTTCTTCACTACATTTATAAAGAATTTGGAAAATTGTGGACTGGTAATGAATTAACCACACTACGTGAAAAAACAAAATACTTCTTTATGTACCTCCTCAGTGGAGCCAATTGGCTGATTAACAAATCATATCATTGTAAAACTTGGGGCTTAGGTCCCAAGCAAACCCACTGGATTTATGAGATGATTGTCAGACCAATGATCACTTATGGAGCAATTGTCTGGTGGCCGAAGGCTTTACAGAAAACGGCCCAGGCGAAGCCCTCTGGCTTACAGAGACAGGCTTGTCTGGCCATCTGTGGTGCCATCAGTACCATAGCGTTAGCGACCATGGAGGTCCTGGAGGTTCTGCAGAGAGAGGCTAGATGGCAGGGACCTATGCGAATGTATTTCAAGCGGAAATATATGATATTCAATTGTGTGCGGAGAGATTGGTAGAATCCAACCTCATACTCGGACAGTCAAGCGACGTTAGAAGCTCTTGGCTCCTACTGAGCAGAGTCTAAATTTATAGCAAATTGTCAAAAACGACTCTCCTCAATAGGAAGACATAACAAATCATCTTTGGCCTGGATTTCTGGCCATACTGGCCTGGAAAGCAATGAGATTGCTGACTCCCTTGCAAAGGAAGTTGCTGCAAGAAGGTTTATCGAACCAGAACCTATTATTGGCATCGCTTTAGGCTTTTCCGAACTAACATGGAACACCTAGATTTATGGACTTCTGATATCACTGATAGCAAAACGACTGGTCTATAGTTATTTGGAAGATTTTTCTTGCCATTTTTGGGAATATAACGCGAGAAATCTTTCAACAAGAAGGAAAAACATTTTCCTTGTAAGACAGGTTGAAAAGTCTGCAAAATACTGATGCGAGTTCATTTGTGCACGTTTTAAGTACGATGATGGGTACTTCGTCAGGACCACACGCCTTGTTGATATTTAGCTGTTTCAAAATTCGCCTGACTATAATCTGTTCAGAAATGAGAGAGACTACAGCAGTATATCTATATATATATATTTTAGTGCCATAGGCGTACTACATTCAAATTATTTACTCTCAACGAATTAAATAAATGAATTTATACGACGAAAATACAATATTTATTCTTGAAAAATATCATTCATAACAAACAAAATAACAAGTCTACTATGACAAATGTTAAAATATGTCCAGTAGTAACCAAGACGTTCTCCAACAAATATGTGTTTAGTTGAAGGGGATTGAAAAAATATTGTTTTTTTGAAGCCGGTATAAATAGATATTCCTTTGAATAATACTGTCAACAGACACATCTCACCCGTCAATAAGACCAAATTGGCTTTTTAGCGGGGTTATTCGTGATATTCTTCAGTTTACTTCGAGAGCGCGTTGAATAAACAGCTATACAACATGGAAGCTAGTTGTTCGGGAATCGTGAAGCGTCCGAAATTGTCACCATTAAATATAAATGAAAAAACAATTGTTATGAATGTATATAATGCTTTGAGAATACAATATCCGCCCGAAAAAAAAAGTAAGGAGGAAGTAGTGCAAAAATGTGCGAGTATGACTGATGTCAATAGATCGACAATTTTTAGAATTCTCAAGGAACTCAAGGAAAACAACAACTTTGTCGAGCCGAAAGTATCCACTGGTAAAAAGTGTTTGGTTATCGATGAAGAGGTGAAGAACAGTACACTCTTTTTACATAAAAAACGAAATACCTACATTAAATAAAGTTTTATCAGTTATTAGTGAAGACAGTTTTTTCCTGATATAAGAAGAACTCGATTATGGAAGATATTACATGAGCTGAATTTCACTTTTGGAAGGGAAGATAGAAAGAGCATGTCAATAGAAAAATCAGAGACTGTAGAATGGAGAAGAAACTATTTAAGAGAAATGAAGAAAGCCAGAGCACTAGGTAAATATATTTTTCATTTGAATGAAACATGGGTCAATGAGGGTCATACCGTCTCGAAGGTTTGGCAAGATCAGAACATCAAAAGTGGAAGACAAGCCCTTATTGAAGGTTGGTCCACTGGTTTGAAAATTCCAGTTGGAAAAGGTCGTCGTCTTATCATCACACACATAGGCAGCAGTGAAGGATTCGTGGAAGATGGATTGATGTTGTTTGAATCGAAGAAAAATGAGGATTACCAGCAAGGAATGGATGCCACAGTATTCGAAAAATGGTTCAAAAACATACTTGTAAAACTTCCGCAGTGATCCGTAATAGTAATGGATAACGCAAGTTACCACAGTAGACGAGTCGAGAAGCTGCCGACGTCGTGTTGGAAGAAAGCAGATATTACTGAGTGGTTACAAATGAAAGCTATTCCTTTTGAATAGCGGAGCTCCTCAACTTGGCTAAACTTGGCTAAAAAGACCTTCAAGCTGTGTGAAGTAAAGAAATACCTATACAGTGCTCTGAAAACAGTCGACCAACAAGCTTGGAAAAAATGTATCCAAAAAACAATCAGAATCAAAGCAGAGATGTGGGATCTGGATGATCGCATAGACTCATTATCAGAACAAATTATTCCAGTTGTCATCAATCCTGATGAAACTGATTCATCCAGTGAAGAATCACTCAACGAATCCCTGTAGACTTTTTTAGATTAAAATTATCGTAATGTCTTATTCGAAGTAAGTATTCCCATTAAATCTATAAAATTGTTTCTGAATCAACTATAAAATCCAATAAGGAATATGAATCTTCATTTCCAAACCAACAAGAACATATAAAGTGTATCTCTCAGTGCAGCCACACTTTTCTACTTCCTGAAAATGTCAAAGTTGAAGCCGAAACGTCGAACAACGCAAAATTTTGAACGCGGTTCAACTCGAAATCAGATGTTCAAATTTCTTACCTCGGAAATCTATTCTATTAGTATACTTCTCTGGTGATGTTTCTAATACTTTATCCATCTTCATTATCATACCGACGATCAATTTGATATTATCAGTGTCAATGATAATAATAATATCAAATTCAAGCAGTTCTTTTGTCGGTATTTTCGCATTCTTTGTCGGTGTTTTGGCTTTCTTTGTCGCATATCCCTGCTTTAATGGCTCGTTAGCGGCGTCCTCAAGGGATATAGAGGGTAGATATATCTCAATGATTTTGTGGGTGAAATGCAGTGCTATTTGCTTGAAACGGCTATGTTGCTTTCTTTGATGTAGCGACATGTTTGCATTTTTGAAATTCTTTTACTCTCAGACAATACTGAAGGAACTATAATAGAGCAATCCAAACTACATCGAACTCAAAATTTCATTGCAAATCTATTTATTTGTCATTCTTTGTTTTCCTTGCTTCACTGCTAATTTAAATTCCTTTGAAATTATAGAACACAGGTCTGGAAGTAGCTCACAATGTCAAAGCAGACACCAAAAATCACTTCAGGAATTTAATGCTGGTTGCTCATTTCTATGCTCTCAGATCTGCATGCAGACAAGTATCATCATTGAAAAAAATTGGAGTCAAAATAAGTACTGCTCTTTTGAGGTACACCGATCTGATTCCTGCAGATAAGGCCTTTTACGAAGCAGGTCAGTTACCTATTAATTATATTTAAATAGTGGTCAAACTATTTTGTAAAGATTGAGAAATTGAATCGACTGATTTCATTTTGGTATCTTTGAAATAACAGATTTTTATCCTTTCAACGAGGGTGAACATGCACATTTATAAAATATAGAAAGCAACAAGGATTTGGGTCACAGAAATTGAGAAACTCATTTTTTTCTATTGATCAAATTTTCATCACACGTTTTTTCAACAGGTAAAGATATGAAAGAAGAAGGAAGATTATCGGAAGCATTCGTTTTTCTCAATCACTACCTAGATTTGTGCGAGGCTATTGAAGAAGGAGAGGGCCAATTGGTAGACCATTCCGATCTAGCTCAGACCGATTTTCCTTCGAACATTCCCCTTCCCGAACAGCTATATTTATCAGAAGATCCGAAGGAGCACGATGAAATAAGAGAGTGGGTTCTTGCTGTCAGTATGGATCAGAAAGTGGATCAGGTTGTGTACAAAGACATACATTAATGATATACAATGTTCAGTACATCTGTCAAATTAGTTGTCATTTATTCACTCTGTTTTGCCAAATCATCATACATTATTTTTTTAACAAAATGAGAATTCAGTTTGGGCAACGTACCGCGCGCTTCGCCCATTTTACGGTCGCCATAATCGTCCTACCGAGAGAACTATTCGCAATGTGGTGGATGAATCTGAATCTGCTGGTTAAGTAAACGATCGACTAACACCCGTACGTCGACGAAACTGAGATCTACCGAAAACATCGCCGCTGCCTGTGAGAGTGTGCAGGAGAATCCGAGGCAGTTAATTTCGCAACGCTCACAAGAACTCGGCCTTTCGCAGACCACAACTTGGCGAAATTTGCGACATGACTTGGGCCTGCACCAGTACAAAATTCAATTGAACGAGGAACTGAAGGTAAACGACCATAGACAACGACGTGTGTTCGCTGAAAGGCCTCTGAGCAGTAGGCAACTGACCCTGATTTTCATCGAAAAATCACCTTCAGCTATGAGGCCTATTTCTGGATGAATGTGAACGTGAACAAATGAAATTGTCAAATTTGGAACGATACCAAAAAGTCACTGTTTGGTGTGGATTTTCGGCTAGCGATGTCATCGGTCCATATTTCTTTGAGAACGACGTTCAAAATTCTTCCTATAGACTCATTCTGGCCATAGTTGGTATGATGAAGGGATACTTTGAAGATTTCTGTACGCCTTGTTCTCGTCGGATTCACCTTCAAAGTTATAAATTCAACAAGTTCCGGGAAACTTGGTAATTATTTTGTGAATATTTGCTTCTAATTTTCTATGACCCCGAGGCAAGGCCTAGCCCAGATTTTTGTTTCGGGGGTCTCAATAAAAAAGACGTTCTAATTCAAATTTAATTAATTGCCATTACATTGGCACAGGAAAAGCCCTCCACCAAGGTTGAGTCAATTGACAATAAAAAATCAATCCTTCTAACTTTTTATGGGCAAATTCTGTTATAACATCATTAGTTGGGATGATGACATGTCTGTGAATTGCCATTATGCCCAACCCCGTTAGCCTCTCTTGCCCACAAGAACTCCGTAGATAGGTTTTTAGGGGTGCACGCGGTTACTGGTAGAGTCGACAAGCCAGGGGGGGAGTCCGGGACCCCTGACCCCCTTGGGCACGGCCTGGCCCCGAGTATTCAAATTAGGAATGTCCAACATAATTTTATATTCATCAATATGATATCCCAGTTTATATGCAGAGTATATTGTTAGGTTTTTTTCCCCCGTAGGTTCACCAATAACACAACACAACAAAGTTTTTGTTTCGGGGTTGAAATTAGATGATTTTAATGTATTTCCACGTGTTAAAACCGAAAGTGACCATAAAAATTATATATTAGCTCTTGTTTTCAAGATATAGTATCATTATATTATATATATGTATATTGAGTTTAACTTTTCACGTATAGTATAACTACTCTTTAAGATTAAGTACTGTGTATCTCAAAAACCAGAGCTAATAAAAATTTTTATTGTTATTTTCGTTTTTATCACCCCAAAATTAGTAGAAATTGACTAATTTAGTGTAGGAAACATTCAAAAAATATTTTTTTGTTGTGTTGTTGACTACACTGAATAATCAAACTTAACTTTATTTCACTTTAAAAACAACTAACACTTCAACTAAAAATTTGAACTGTTATTTTAATGTCTATCGCCTTACTAGATTACTTCGCGTACCGCACTGTTGCGTCCACTTCACTGTGTTCTTGACTGTCCGAATACGCTTGCAGCCAGCGTTTAAATATCGCAATGGAACAGCGTAGAATTTCGCCGAAGTTCTCTGGACATTGGTAGCATGTTTTTCACTCTTTCTCGAGCGGCAGGTAACATTGGATATTCCCACGCTCTCAGCTACGTCACGTTTGGTTTCCAGTGGCGGCCGGCGTTATTTCCTTTCGGGCAACTTGTATTGAACACCTTCAAGCATATCAATATCCATATATCAATATGAAGGGCACCAAATTGTTGATCCAACAATGGAACAATATTTGATTTTCAAGAAAGAGAAAGATAATTTCTTTGCAGAGTAACACCCAACATTTTTAATGCTCTAGAAGTAACATTGGAATATGGGGTTTAAATGACATTTTTGGGTCAAGAGTGATTCCGTAATTTTTTATTGTACTTGTAGTTTCCAGTTCCGATCACTTGATTTTATATGGACGATTTATGGGATTTTTGTTAAGGAAAAAAGTGAATTTATGACAATTGTTTATATTCATTTGCAATAAGTTTATATTACACGAGTATCGGATGAGTCGTGAATGTCTTTAAACATCTTCAGATCATCAGCAAACAGCAAATAACAGCATACAAGTCATTTACAAATAGGTTGAAAATTAATGGTCCTAAATGAGATTCCTGCGGTACACCATTAAACACTCAGTTTTTCACCCTTACTATTTAAAAGAAAATATTGTCAACCAAATACAGCCCAATCTACAGAAATAGTTGTTCTCTTCCTTTCAGTTCATCGAATTTGCATTTCCTTTCCAAAGAATTGAAAAAGAAAAGTGTTTGTAAGCTGCTTTTTAACCATTTACTTGAAGTAAAATATATCTTTTTATTTTAAAGACACTTCCCGTAGACGAACGACAGCTCTTTGAATCATCGTTGCAGCAGGGAGAGACTCCTTGCTTGGTTACTGGTTACCCCGTCAGAGAACAAGCCGTTTCCTTTGGAAAGTCCAGCTTGCAAGCCAGTAAGGATGCCTGGGCCAAGCTGAACATGGGGGCGAAAATGACACCAGAATCGAACGTGGGTAATGTTATTTCGTTCATTACAAAGTGGTGTGGACCGCCGAATTAAACATCTGTATTTAATTTATTACTATTTCTTGAAATGTTAGAAATATTTCTGTTCAAATAAAAGGTTTGTCTTTGCTGCTGATATTTTATTATTCTCTACAAAATCTGCCTGCGATGGGGACAGAATAGAGAGTGAATCTGAATACATTGGAATCTTTCCTCACGGAGATCAAGAAGCTAAGTTCTAATAACTCCGAAAACTGGGCTCATCAAATGTGCTTTATATTGGAGAAATTGAAGTGTAGTTGAATTCAGCACATCAACATAACATCAAGGTGTATTCGCTCTTGATCACCTTGTTTTGAATTATTTTTGAATGAGTTTCAATTATTAGAGTCTCCATTGAATATATTTCGTGGCCTCCTCTGGCCAAGATCCTCACAATAGTCATGATTTCCAATTCGCTTGTTAGAGTATGTGATATTCCAAATATATGGCTCTCATAACTCCCTAACGTTTTTTTTCTCTTCCATCGTCTTGACATGTAGTGGGCCAAAATAATCCATTCCCTCAACGGCAAACGGTCCTACTTCTCTAGAAAGTCTCACTTCCAGGATCCGCCCCATTAGAGGTGGCATTGCGCTCTTTCATTTTTACATTTCTGGCAGTTCGAAAATGCTCTTTTCACTAACAGCACCGCGACCATGTATTTCACAATATTTTTGTCTGGCTAACTCAACTTCTCTGTGGTGGACTTCTCTGTATCTGTAGAGTCTACAGGTCCTGATGAAATTCCTACAGTTATTGTGAGAGAATTTGGCAAGGACCTGGTTAGACCACTTGCGCATATAATGAACCGCTCTCTGGAAACAGGGATATTTCCCAGTCATGTGAAGTCGGCAAAGATAACTCCAATATACAGGGCTATTCAAATTCGTTTCTGTAGATGGGGATCTCGTAAACGATAAGAGATAG